TAGCTTTGTCCTTTCAATGTTTCTGCCTGTGTTCTTCATAATTGCTGATCTTGACAGTCAAGGCAACAATTCAAGCCTTGAGGGAGTTGGTGTCCTCAGGGTTTGCCACAAGCTTGTTCATCAATTGTTCTTTTTTGATTTTTAGCTTCTCCTTCTGAGTCCCCATTTCCAATCGCAAGAGTCTGCCGAAACCAGTTTGGCTCAGTGGATAGAGCATTAGCCTGTGGACTGAAAGGTCCCAGGTTCAATTCCGGTCAAGGGCATGTACCTTGGTTGCAGGCACAAACCCGGTGGGGGGTGTGCAAGAGGCAGCTGATCAGTGATTCTCTCTCATCGATGTTTCTAACTCTCTATCCCACTCTCTTCCTCTCTGTAAAAAATCAATATTTTAAAAAAATATATATATGTATATATATATTTTTAAGAGTCTTTTCACGACATCACCAACTTTCTCAATTTCAGGGACTGTCTGGTAATCTTTAAGGAGCATGGATGGTGCCGGACTGGTTTCTGGACAGCATATCCATGGATGGCCAGGAGGAGACCCTCCTCACCTCTCCTGAACCCTTTCCCTACTCCCTTTACCATTTCTTGTAATGCTGGCTTGGTGGTGATTAACTCTTTAGACTTTTTTTTTCTTTCTGGGAAGTTCTTTATTTCACCATTTTGAGTTATAACCTTGCTGGATATAGTAATCATGGTTTCAGATCCTTGCTTTCCATTACTATAGAATTTCTGATGAGAAATCAGGTGTCAGCCTTATGGGAGTTCCAATGTAGGTAACAGTTTACTTTTCTATTGATGCCTTTAAGATTCTGTCTTTAATTTTGGCATTTTAATTATGATGTGTCTGTGCATGTGCCTGTTTGGGTTCTTCTTGCTTGGTACTATCTGTGCCTCCTGAACTTGTCTTTTTTCCTTCACTACATTAGAGAAGTTTTCTGCCATTATTTCTTCAAACACATTCTCCATCCCTTTCTCCCTTTCTGCCTCTTCTGGTTCACCTACTATTCAAACATTTTTACATTTAATGTTGTCACACAGCTCCCTTAAGCTGTCCTCCTGTTCTTTGTTTTTTTCTTTTTGGTTCTCTGATTTTTTTCTGCCCTGTCTTATAATTCACTGATTCAATCCTCAGCTTCCCCCAATCTGCTGTGTATTCCTTCCAATGTGTTATTTGTGCTGTCATTCTTTATTTCTCTTTTCTTAGTTACTATATATCTTCTCATGCTGTTGAACATCTTTACCATCATTATTCTCAACTCTAAGTCAGGCGAATTTCTAATCTCTATTTCATTCATCTCTTTCTGTAGAATTCTCTTGTTTTCGTTTGGGGCTTCCTTTTTTTTTTTTTTTTCCTGTTTGGGTTTTTGACTATGTATTAGGTAGATCTGCTATGCCCCTCAATCTCTAGTACAATACAGTGTTAGACGCTTTCTAATTAGATCAGGCAAAGACTCAAAGCCTCCAGAGACCACCTCTTGTCTGAAGACTGATAGGATTCAGTCTAGAATAGCCCTCACGCAATTGTCCACAAGTGTGAGTTTTTCCAATAGGGTAGGTCAACTTAGTTAGCAAATGCCTACATGAGGAAAAATGACCTTTGCAGTATAAGGAAATGACTCAGCACAGGAAATTGAAGGTGTCTGCCTTCTTTGTTCTAACCCCAGCACCCCCAATCTTGGCTTCTGCTCGCACAGCTCCAGTTCACTTTGCCTCTCCCTCCCGCACAGGTGGGTTGCTGCACAGGGAATTTTGTGCACTGGTTCTTAAAGAGTGTGCCTGCATTTCTAGCCCTCTTTCCCTGGCAGACAGCAACCTTGCCACTTTTCAGTCTGTTCTGGTACTCTCTACTGGGGGTCCCAGTTTGGGCTGACCTGAGTTCTCAGTTGGCACTCCCACAGCTGAGATTTCTCTCCAGAACTTCAATTGCCGTCTGTGGGAGCCGGGCCAGCCCTTTCATGCCTCCACCCCTACCAGTTTCTGTGCAGTCTCCACTTTCAGTCGTTGGTTATCAGGGTTCTCTCTAGCAAATTTTCAGTTGATTTTTCAGGTTTTTCTGTATTTTAGTTGTAATTCCAGTTTGGTCCTGTGCGTGTGTCCATGAAGCATCCACTTAGTCTGACACCATTTTTTAATCTCCCTGGGTGTTCTGAACTGGACTTACAAGGTAGCACCTCCGAGCTCGAGCACCAGGGTGAGACTCTTGGGTACCCAGACACATAAGGAACTGGATGGTGTCCCATCAGGGCAGGAACTTGGGGGTGGCTTTCTTCCAGACAAATTACAGGGATCATTGTTTCTGGGCTGAGATCTCCTGAGATACAATTTTAAATATGGGGCTGTGACACTCATGAAGACCGGCAGGAGGGACTAGGGCTGCCAAGTGGCCGAGGCAGACAATTGATGACTCTTCTCTCATCAATATTTCTCCCTCTCCCTTCCTCTCTGAAGTCAATAAATATATATTTTAAAAAAAGAAAAGAAAAAGGACATGAGCAGTAAACTGATAACCATTCCCTTACTACACCAATATGAATGCAGTCAATTTCTTTTAAATTAACAAACCCCACAAAATAACAACATTCCCCAAATTCTTTTATTCCACAAAAAATGGAGCACAGACTATTTTATATACATTTACTTTATTTCAAACTTTTCTACTGGCTTTGATAACATTTAGAGAATAAGAATGAAAACAAGGCACTATTGTAGCACATCGAGAAATAACTTTATCCAAAGGGCATTCATGTGGAAAATATACTCAACATCAGTTCATATATTCCGAACTTACACATTCATTGTAAGGATGACACTCAAAGGCACAAGAGTTCTTGCAGTCATAGCCAGACTTCTTGCTAGGCATCCTGACTGTCAGCTGCTTACAGGAGAGCCGGATGAAGATGGGTTTCCAGGAAACACAGCGGGTGAAGGGGTGTGACCATCTACTCAGTGACAGTATCTCTAAATGCACTTTGAGAACTAGTGGCACTGGAATGAATGGTGGCACAATGGGCAAAGGGAGCATCCTATATAATAAAAGCCTAATATGTAAATCAACTGAATGGCAGAACAATCAGTCGCTTTGACGTCACTGACCACCATGGGGCAGACACTCAATGCAGGAGCTGCCCCCCAGCCTGCAGACCCCTGGCCAGCCAAGGCAGGTGCCAGTGGGGGCCCCCAGATCACCCTGCTGGTCGCCCCACAGACAGACTCTGATCGCCGGCCAGGCCTAGGTACTCTACCCATACATGAATTTTGTGCATCGGGCCTCTAGTTTAATATAAAACAAGCCACATCCGATGAGGTGGCATGTAGGAATTGTAAGGACTTTATAAAGTAATTTAGAAATTATAACAGCTTTTATTCAAAATTGCAATAAGGTATCCATTACCCTAATTTCCTGGAATCATAGTTCTTATCAGAAACAGCATCTAGTGATGAACCTGGTCAAGAATGAATAATAAAAATCTAATTTTAAAAGGAAACATTCTATTTAAAACTAGAATATGAAAAGTGTGAGGATTGTAATCAGCGTGGAACCAATGAGCCCTCACGCTGGTGACCCAGCGCCCCCTGCAGGTAGTGTTGGTGCTGCAGGAGAAACTTAAGGGTCCAGGAGTTAAGAGGGGCCACGTGGGTTTAAAAGGAAACAAAGCCAACAACATCTCTGTGCCGTTCCAAGCACACAGAGCTGCAGCCAGAACACGGACAGGGCTGCTCTCTGCTGGGGTCGCATCCTCCAACATGTCTGAGAACCGGGAACATGCACTGGCCTGTTAGCACCGCGGCCTCCCCAGGACTGTGATCTGCACACAGTCTGAACGTTGAGGTTAAAGATGGTTGCACTATAAGGGCACGTGCGGCCCTGGGCACACAGGTGTTGGATTGCTGCCAAACCCATTCTGATGGACCAGGTTTGCTAAGCAATGTGTTCTAAAGGGTAAAAATCAGGGAAAATTCTACTCTTAAAAAAAGCATATTTGCGATTCCTTAGTAATCAATAAAGAAATTAAAGATTGAAAAAAATAAAAATAAAAAAACGGGATGGGATGAGGACCAATGAGAAAACAAAACAAAACAAAACAAAAGTCCACGTAAAGTCCACTATATCCAAAGGCAGGAGCTATATTTTTTTTAAAGTTACAACAGGTTTTATGCTTAATACAGTACATCCTGGGCTTAGTACATGGCACATTATTAATGAGAAGTGTGATTTTGATTATCATGTGTTTAAAAATCAACTAAAAATGTTACTAAAAAAAAAAAAGGAAAAACGTCTAAGTGAATGCATACGGCGTAAGGGGCCTCAGCGAGCAAGGTCTGACACGTCCCTCCCGATGGCGCAGCGGCCACCGGCACGAGGAATGGTTTGTGGTGTGGTCCCACTGCTCCCCGCAGAGCAGCGCAGCACTGCCCCTCCCGGGAAAACACTCCAGCAACAGGGATTCCAGGACAAGCCGTGGCGCACACGCGCAGACCCTGGGCTCGCGGACAGCAGTGACACGCACGCTGCTGGCGCAAGGCTCAGGCACCGGCTGTGCCAGAGGGGCGGCGTGTGGCCTGGCGCTCAGCGCCTGCAGCAGGCCCGGCCGGAACGTGCCGAGATCAGCCCTGGAGAGCACGGAGCCGTTAAGGAACAGCTCCCATGTAATCTACTCTGAGAAGCTTGTCACTGAGGTGAGGCTTGTTGCACAGAAACCTGGAATCACACAGCCCAACAGGCTCCATTCTTCCTACTGGGAACCATTGGAAACGCAGCCCCTCCTAGGAAAGTAGTCACAACAAACCAGTTCCTCGGGAGTGTCTCCCCCAGACAGCCTCACTGCAGCGCCCCCGTCAGAAGCCACCACTGAACTGATTGGTAAAGATTAACTTAGCACTTTTCCTCCAGAAAGTATAAAACGCTTTAGGTAGAAAGAACCCGTAGAGAGCTAGGTTATAGCATGAATGCCGGTGACAGGGAGCGGGGCCGGGCACGGTTGGGAGGCAGACCTTCACTTGGAGGGCGCGGGGTTCTTGGGGGGGAGCAGCTTGTAGGTGTTGAAGTAGCCCACCACCTGCTGGGGGATCTCGGCCAGGACACACTGGGCCAGCGCCTCCTTGGGAGCCTGGAGAACACAACCAGTGACTTCATGAGCAATTACATTTTCACCGCCCCCTCACCTTTTTAGTTAATCCTCATCCAAGGATATCTTTCCCATTGATTTTTAGAGTGGAAAGCAAAGAAAGGGGGGGAAAGAGAGAGAAACATCGCCTTGAGAGAGAGACATCAATTGGTTGCCTCCTGCATGCGCCCAATCAGGGCCAGGGATCGAACCTGCAATCAAAGTATGTGCTCTTGACAGGGAATTGAACCCAAGACTCTTTGGTGCACGGGCAACACTCTATCCTATCTAATAAAAGAGTAATATAAAAATTGGCTGTCACTTCAAGACACAAGATGGCCACCCTCATGTGGCCAAAGATGGCCTCCACAAGATGGCCTGCAGGGGAAGGCAGTTGGGGAAGACCAGACCAGCAGAGGAGGACCGTTGGGGGAGGGGGGGGACCAAGCTAGCAAGGGAGGGCAGTTGGGATAGAACAGGCCCACAGGGTTGGGCGGGTGTGTGTGTGGGGGGGCATCAGGGCTGCAAGGAGGGCAGTTAGGGGTGACTGGGCCAGCAGGGAGGGCAGTTGGGGGTGATGAGGCCAGCAGGGGAGGGCAGTTAGGGGTGACTGGGCCAGCAGGGGAGGGCAGTTGGGGGTAACCAGGCCTGCAGGGGGAGGGCAGTTAGGGGTAACCAGGCTGGCAGGGAAGGGCAATTAAGGGCAATCGGGCGGGCCAGGGAGCAGTTAGGCATCGATCAGGCTGGCAGGGGAGTGGTTAGAGGGTGATCAGGCTGGCAGGCAGAAGTGGTTAAGAGCAATCAGGCAGAGGCAGGTGAGCAGCTGGGTGCCAGAAGTCCTGGACTGTGAGAAGGATGCCCAACATCCTGGTGGGACCTGGCCTAAATGGGCAGTCATACATTCCTCACGGTGTTCCAGACTGGAGAGGGTGCAGTGCAGGCTGGGCTGAGGGACAACCCCACCCCTGTGCACAAATTTCATGCACCAGGCCTCTAGCCCTTTGTTTTTTTTTTTTTTGTTTTAAATATATTTTATTGATTTTTAACAGAGAAGAAGAAGGGAGAGAGAGAGAGAGAGCTAGAAACGTCGATAAGAAAGAAACATCGGCCAGCTGCCTCTTGCACACCACCTACCAGAGATGTGCCCGCAACCAATGTACATGCCCTTAACCGGAATCGAACCTGGGACCTTTCAGTCCGCAGACCGACGCTCTACCACTGAGCCACACCGGCTTCGCAGCCTCTAACCCTTTGACAAAGACCGGGATTCCGCACAGTCCCACCTCTGCGCCTGCATCCAGTCTCAGGTCAGTCTGACAGCAGGGGACGGACGAGCTGAGGGTGCTGACCCCCACCTGGCATGCAATGACTCTTGTCCTTAACTTTCAATGTTGGTCTTATTCACTCACTATTCATTTTTTTGGCTTCTTATTTAGAATAATTATAGATTCATAGGAAGTTGCAAAAATAATAGACATCAAATGTTCACTTCACCCAGTTTCCTCCGAAGGTAATGGCTCTGTAACAGCGGGACAATGTCAAACCCAGGACAGCGACACCATCCAATGCACAGCCTTACTGAATCTCGTGTCATGTGTGTGTGTGTGTGTGTGTGTGTGATCACAATCAAGATACACAGCTGTCTCAACACCACAAAGACCCCCATGGCTGCTCCCTAACCACACATGGGCCAGGTCCTGCCCCCGTCACTGGGTGGGGATGGCGCAGCCACTCGGGAAGTTCACAGGCTTTCGCTAACTGAACACGCAGCTGCACTTCTGCATGCTTCCCCCAAGCGGCATACAGACACGCCTGTGCGTGATGTTAACAGTGGCTGGTGTGCACGAGGCACAACTGGAAGCAGCTGCAGGTGCCCTCAAACCACGTGCCCACAGCGGCACGGAGCCCGCTCGCAGCCTGTGAGGAATCACAGAGAGAAGGCCAGCCCCAACGGCTCCTGCTGTGAGACTGTTTATACAAGTTTCAAAATGGTAAACTCAAGAGTGGACCAAGCTAATGGCTGCCAGGGATGAGGGATGAAGGTGGGAGGGGACGGATGGCTGTGAAGGGTGCCCTGGGTGGGCCCGTGGGAGGGACCAGGCTGGTAGCAGTGTGCCACTTTATGAGATGCTACCACCATTAGAGCAAACTGGTAGACAGCCTCCGAGAGACTCGGCAAACCAGCCTGTAGGCGGTCAGTTCCTCACACACGTGTGCAAGACTGGCTGCCAGGAGGGAAAGATGAGCTATCCTTGACAGTCACCCACTGGTTTAACTGGCCACACTGCGGGGGCACGCAGGTCCAAGCCTGAAGCAAACCCACCACGGCCAGCACCCGCCTGCCACCCACCGGGGCAAACAGCGAGGCGCAGGGCACTCACGTTCTGGAACTGTCTGAAAGGCACAAACTGCACGATGTCCCTCGTGGCCACCTCCCCCGATGGGGCGCGCAGGGCGCCGCTGTCGCTGTCCAGGAACTCCATGGCGCTGAAGTCGGCGCCGCCCACTCCGACGATGATGATGGACATGGGCAGCTTGGAGGCATTGACGATGGCCTGCCTGGTCTCGTCCAGGTCAGTGATCACGCCGTCGGTGATGATCAGGAGCACAAAATATTGCTGCCAAAGAGAAAGCGCGGCCCGTGAGCAGCTCAGGCTCCTGTGACACAGGGAGTGCCGACACCTGCAGCTCGAGGACCACCTGCTACAAGAGCTGACGTCAGGGTGGCAGGGAGTTCACCGAAACGCTGCGCGTCCACTGAAGGGTGACAGGCAGGAGACAGGCCGGCGAAGTCCACTGGAGCAAGGCGTGGAGACGCCACAGGTAAGTGCCCAGCAGGCGCAGGCGGACACACTCCCTTTAGCTGAAGTGGTGAAGCCGTCCCTGTGGAGCATCGGCCAAGGGAGCGAGAGCCAACTCCGGCAGAAGAGGGAGGCTGTTTATAAACTAAAGGACACGTCGGCGTGGACGTGTGTGTGGGTTCCCTCTGTCAGATATCTAATAAATCACCAGCGTGCGGCGATGTCACATAAAGCATCGTCTGGGTCCTTCACGGAGTCCGATTTGTAACAGCGGCTCAGGTGCTGAGTGTGCATGCGGCCCAGGCCCAGGCACGTGACTAAATCCCCGTTCACTCTTCCCTCCCCATGTGCGTCCTCGCCCTGCCCCACCCCGAGAAGCAGCACCCAGGGGCAGGTCTGAGACAAGACTTGTGTGGGCAGCCTTGTCCCTGCCTGTTTCTAAGGATCACTCGATGCCGCCCCCACCGAGGGAGACGGTGCCCGCACTTCAAGCTCTGCCTTGGCCCTCGATGGTCACGGCACAGACAGGGGCCCGAACAGGGCGGGCCCGCACCTCACTTCGGGGAGGGACACTTACAGAAGCCGTCTGCTGCTGTGTGGCTGCAGCAGCAAACCTGGCCACGTGGTTGATGATCGGGGAGAAATTTGTCGGTCCGTAGAGCTTTATCTGAGGCAGGCAGGCCCGATAGGCCTCCACGATGCCCTGGATCCCTGGGCAGAAAGAGCAGCGTGAGGAGTTCTCAGGCGCACGCCACGCCCGCACTCCCCGCCAGGGTGATCGCACAGGACACAGCACTCAGCCCGCCAGGCCACACCCACTCAGCTGAGCTATGAGGGTGGGCACGTCCCATCACGTGCACGTGGAAGAGTCTACTCCTGTATCACTTTCCATAGGAACCACTATAAACCCACTCCCGCCCACCCTGTGCAGCACACACCTCCACAGCAAGCCCTACACACCTCCCGGCCCAGGACTCGTGTCTCCAGCTGAGCGAGTTACTCACTGTCCACAGGACTGTTAGGGCGTTCAGCTTTGCTGCTAGGGATGAGACTCAGGGGAAAGGACTGACAGAGGCTGACAGGCACTGGACATTTCGAGGTGAGGAGGCGGCTGGGAATTCTCAGGCGGGTCAGACAGACAGCGCCTGCACACATGGCTAGAGGCACACAGACAGGCCCGTGGCTCGGTGCCCCTGGGGCTCCTGTCCAAGGTCTCCTCGCTGACTCACAGCGGGTCTCAACCAGGTGCTGCAAGAACTGCTAACACGTGCAGAACCGATTCAGTCAGGGTGCTGACCCTTTTCCCTTGGTTGTCAAATAAAAATAGGACAAGAGCTGTTCGGTGTAAATGACTCAAAATACAGCTTTTTTGGAAAAAGTGTATTTTCTGGTGTGCTGCAGAACCTTCGGAATTAGTTTACACGTGCCAAGAGGAAGGCTGGACACAGGAGATGTGGAGGTTAAGCACGCAGGGCGGCTGCAGAGTGAGTCCACAGCCACTCCCGGGCCAGGGTCCTGGGCGCTGGGACTGACAGGCCTGCCCCCGCCCGCTCCAGCCTTGGGCAGCTGCACCCCTGCCGAGCCCCAGCTGGAGAAACAGCAGGCTGAGCCCGGGGACCAGGGCGCATCGCTGAGACTGACTGAGGGCAGCGGCAGCCTGGGACAGCCGCACGGCCCGGCCGCAGCACGCTGAGGCCCCCTGGGGCCCCGCACTCCTGCTCCACCTGCCCGGCACCGAGGCAGACGCTTGGAAGAGACGGATTCTCTAGAAACTCCAACACTTGCTGCAGTCATCAGGAATCAGCCTCAGAAGGTGGTCAGTGCAAAACCCAAGCAGGCTTTGGCTTTAAAACGCCCAGCAGAACAGCGAGCCCCGGAAGAGAAGTGGGACGTGGTCTAAGGCTTCAGAACCTGGCCGCCCGAGACGGCAGGTCTCTGTGAACGCCCCGCGGCCCTCAGCACTCGGGAAGGCACGGCCCCGTCAGCACGCAAGAGCAAACGCTCACACAAAGGGTGTTTCACGTGCGAAGGTGAGGCTTCACCAGCGGCCAGCCGCCAGCCGCCCCCCTAACAAAGATCACAGGCGGCAGCAGGGCTGTGCACATGAGTGTACCTCGCAGCACCGCCTTCCCTCTCCCCCTCCGGCTGCCGCAGGCCATCCGCGGACACGGAGCCACACCGCAGCCCCTGAGCCTCTGGGACTGAGGCGTGTGATTTCTGGGCAAGTGCACCAGGGGCTGGGCAGGAGCACTGGACAGGCTGTCTCCCGCACAGCACCTGCTTCGTCTGAAACCCGTGGACGACTGCTCAGACGGACGGAGACCTAACGCAAAGCAGCCGCACCGACGGCAGCCCAGAGGGGCTCCTGGTGCTCGGAGGGAGAAACAGCACGAGTGTCCACGTGAGCCGCCGCCCTCAGCTCCCGAAGTCCTTCCGTCCCACTTCCTCACAAGCACGGAACACGTGGCCCCGGCGAGAGGGGCCCGCCCGGCCCCGCCGTGCACACAGGCTCCGCCGTGCACACAGGCCCCGCCGTGCACACAGGCCTGGGTCGGTGGGAAACGTGTTGGGAGGAGGCGCCTGGCAGCTCCCCCGTGGGAACCGGGGGACGGGCTTTTCTGTCCGGACCCACACATCTGTCGCTGCAGAACGTCAGCTCGCTGTCCAGTCTATGCCTCTGCCCTCCCCTTCCCCTCCAAACTTACATCGTTTTCTGGGGGCCTGGCCTGGGCATGTCTGGAGTTCTCAGGGGCGGGGGAAGCACCTGGATACGGGACGTCCTGGGGAAGCGCGAACCACACGGGGGCCTCCCGCGAAGGAAGCTGCCCAGAGCCGCCTGCACTGCGGGGACCACCTGCACCCACGCCCTGCACAGCGCCCGCTCCCCTGAGGGCCTCAGAGGCCCGGACTGACTGCTCAGTTCAGAGGGTTTATTCTAAAATCAACTTACGCGTGGAAGGAATATGACCCTATTTATTGACCGAGTCCCACGACAGGATTCTTCCATTCTGTTAGTCCTTTCAGGCAGGAGAGCGTGGCGGGCACTCCTCGCCCACAGGGAGCCCCTCCCCCCGCAGGGCGGCTCCTGCCTCGGGAGACAGGGCCGGTCCCAGACCAGACCGAGGGGAGAAGGCACAGGGAGGCCGTGCAGCGGGAGCGTCCACTCACCTTTGCAGTAGGGGTTGGCCGGGCTGAAGTTCATGGGGAATTCGTGCGACACCTGCAGGGGGAAGGGGCTGGTGAGCTGGGCTCGCTCTCCCCGGGGCGGAGCCGGAGGACGGTCCCTCTCACCTGCCACTGAGGCGGAATCTGAGCTCCAAACCCAAACGCGGGGAACATCTTATCCCTAAGAGGAAATGTGAAAAGAGAAGATCGTTTTTTCCAACATAGTTTATCTTTACTCATAATAAAACCAGTATAAGCTTAGTTTTTAAACTGTTCAAATCGTAAAAAAAAAAAAAAAAAGATTACTCCTAATTCCAGAGGAAAACAATGTTAATGTGGCAATTCCACAAAGCCCTAAAACCACAATCTTTTCATTGTTTGTGGCAAACTCGTTTGGCAGTCAAACTTGCTCAACTGACATGAAGTCACTTACCGCCACGTATGAATATTCATACACTGGCCACAGAAACGTGGTACAAATGCCACATAAAAACTCTCATTTCCCATCAGGCCATTCCCCGCGAACCCCCAAATGAACATGCTAATTTCCCATCAGGACATCCTCCTCCATGGCCGCTCAGAGCGGCTCTGGCACTGAGGACAGAACCTGTGTCACACATGCCAAACCCTTCTCCCTGCTTACCATCCCTCTTTAACGTTTACAGTCTTCAATATTAATTAATATGAATAAACGCTACTTCACGATTTCTGCTTCCTCGCTGTCAGACTGTCAACAATCTGCGCATATTTCTGCGGACGTTCAGGGGGGTGTGACCGAAATGCCCAGTCCATCCGGAAATGTTGAGGAAGCCGCTGTCCCCACAGGGTGCCCTCAGCCCGAGCCCCACAGCTCCACCTGCAACTCGGCCAGGCGGGGGAACAGAAGCCACCTGCACTGCGCGGGCGCACACCCAGTGCCCTCCGGTCCGCTGCCAACACTGCCCGGCCCGGGGGACGCTGCCCGGCCCAGGGGGACACCGCCCGGCCCGAGGGGGACGCTGCCCGGCCCAGGGGGACGCTGCCCGGCCCAAGGGGGGCGCTGCCCGGCCCGAGGGGGACGCTGCCTGGCCCGGGGGTGGGGGGCGCTGCCCGGCCGGGGGGGCGCTGTGGGTCGAGGTGCCTGTTTGTCTGAGACACGTGCCCCACGAGCACCACAGGGCGCAGACCTCTACTTGGCCCGAACCCCTTTGTGTGGGGTCCGCTCCTCGGCTGTGTCTGTGATGAACACAGAGCGGGGCTCCCTGACCTCGGGCCGCCCTCCCGCCCGCTCCCGCCCCGCCGTCTGAGCGCCGCGGGACCGCTCCCCCGCCCTCTGCTCTGGACACCGGCTGCCCGCACCCTCCCTCGGGGACATGGTGAGCTGCTGTCAGGACCCTGTTGGATTTCTTACTGAAATGAACGGATTTAGGAAGACATTTTTATGTCTTACATCATTATGACACCTGGCATATTTCCATTTAAGTAAACCTCCCTCTTTGTCCCTCAGTACAATTTTGTAGTTTTTCCCTCAGTGACGATCCTGGACCCTCACCCTCACTTTTTATACATTCTGAATTGTGGTCTTGTATCCACAACCTCTTGAGTGAGTCACTGCTGGTGAGCGAGAGATCACTGATTTCTATGCGGCATCTCACCACTTCCTGAAGCCTCCCTCCCTCCCTCCGTGGACCCGCAGGTGTGAACATGTCCTCCAGGTCTGCGGAGGGGCCAGGGGCCCGTGGGGCCAGAAGGGATAGGGGCTGGGGGGCCGGAGAGGACAGAGGGGATGGAGGGGACAGAGGGGACAGAGAAGACAGGGGCCAGAAGGGACAGGAGACGGAGGGGCCAGGGGACAGAGGGGATGGGGGACAGAGGGGACAAGGGTCAGAGGGGACGGGGGACAGAGGGGACGGGGGACAGAGGGGACGGGGGACAGAGGGGACAGGGGACGGAGGGGATGGAGGGGACAGAGAATGGAGGGGACGGAGAATGGAGGGGACAGAGAATGGAGGCGACGGGCTGGAGGGACTGACTGCGGCGCTGAGCGGACCCGTTTCCCCTCCGTCCTTTAGTCTTACTCTATTGTGTACCGCTCCTTACATGCAGTCCTTGTTGGAAAATAAAAGCAAGTAAACCAGAAATTCTCCTGCCTGCGACCACATGCCCCACACAGCTCAGTCCCCTCTCCCCCCCTCTCCCTCCGAGCCCCACGGCCCAGCTCAGTCCCCTCTCCCTCCGAGCCCCACGGCCAGCTCAGTCCCCTCTCCCTCCGAGCCCCACGGCCCAGCTCAGTCCCCTCTCCCTCCGAGCCCCACGGCCAGCTCAGTCCCCTCTCCCTCCGAGCCCCACGGCCCAGCTCAGTCCCCTCTCTTTCTGAGCAAAGGTCAAAGTCAACAATGCGCCTGCCCCAAGGAGAAAGACAGATCAGACATTTTGCAGCCTGTCCCGCGCGGTCAGAGTACACGCAGGAGACAGACACACGCCTCCTGGGTGAGGACACAGGCGATACTCACGCGTCGTAGTCTTGAACGACCACCCCCACGGACCAGATGGCGGTCAGGTACTCGTTCACGCCGTTGGGGCTGATGTAATGAAGGGAGTCGGGGGAACGCGGGTCCCCATTGGAGCCGGTGAAGTCCACCCCCACCTGCAGGTGACAATGCAGCCCTTACTCGAGAAGCAGGGCGTCCACACTGGTGCGGGGGAGCGGCAGGAGACAGGTGCGCCCGCAGCCCACCCGCGTCCTCAGGAGTGTCCGCCATCACCCGAGCACAGCCCAGACGGCCTGTGCTCTGTCTGCCAGATGCCTAAATGTGCATCACTGCCCAACATGCCACAAGAGGCACTAGGACTGCACCGGGACTGCACTGCACCGGGGCTGCACTGCACCAGGACTACACTGCACCGGGGCTGCACCGGGGCTACGCTGCACCGGGACTATGCTGCACCGGGGCTACGTTGCACCGGGCTACGCTGCACCGGGACTACGCTGCACCGGGGCTACGCTGTACCGGGCTACGCTGCACTGGGACTACGCTGCACCGGGCTACGTTGCACCGGGACTACGCTGCACGGGGGCTTCGCTGCACCGGGACTACGCTGCACGGGGGCTACGCTGCACCGGGGGCTACGCTGCACGGGGGCTACGCTGCACCGGGACTACGCTGCACCGGGCTACGCTGCACCGGGCTACGCTGCACCGGGCTACGCTGCACCGGGGTTATACTGCACCGGGGCTGCACCAGGGCTACGCTGCACCGGGACTACATTGCACCGGGGCTGCACCGGGCTTCGCTGCACCGGGGCTACGCTGCACCGAGGTTATACTGCACCGGGTTATACTGCACCGGGGTTATACTGCACCGGGTTATACTGCACCGGGTTATACTGCACCGGGTTATACTGCACCGGGTTATACTGCACCGGGGTTATACTGCACCGAGGTTATACTGCACTGGGACTATGCTGCACTGGGGCTGCACCGGGCTATGCTGCACCGGGACTACACTGCACCGGGACTACGCTACACCGGGACTACGCTGCACCGGGGCTATGCTGCACCGGGGTTATACTGCACCGGGTTATACTGCACCGAGGCTATACTGCACCGGGGCTACACTGCACCGGGGCTGCACCGGGACTACACTGCACCGAGACTACACTGCACCGGGGCTACGCTGCACCGGGACTACACTGCACCAGGGCTACACTGCACCGGGGCTACACCAGGATTACATTGCAACAGGGCTGCACTGGGACGACACTGCACTGGGGCTGCACTGGGGCTGCACTGGGACTACACTGCACCAGGGCTGCACAGAAACTGTACTGGGTCTGCATCGTGACTACAATGCACTGGCGCTGCACCAGCTGCACCGGGACTACACTGCACCAGGGCTACACCGGGATTACACTGCACTGGCACTGCACTGGGACTACACTGAACCAGGACTGCACCAGGACTATACTGCACTGGGACTGCACCAGCACTTCACCAGAACTGCATTGCACCCGCACTACACTGCACTAGGACTACACTGCACTGGCACTGCACCGGCACTGCACAGGCACTGCACCAGGACTACACAAGGACTGCACATACAGGTCTTGCTTTCCACATTGGCTTGCTGGATGCTTTCTCCTGCTGAAGTTGCTGTGGGGTAATCCACGTTGGGCCCTTCTGCTCTCTGGGAGAAGGGACAGGACAGCTCCATCTACCCAGAGCGCTGGGTCAGGCCACACACAGGCGTGCCCTCTGCCACGTCAGCTCTGCAGAGGAGCAAGGCACTGCCAAGAGGAAGGGGAGCTCCCAGGTACTCACGGTGAAGTTCAGCTGGCATCCGCCCATGATGTAGTCCAGGAAGGTGCACTCCACTATGATCTGAAAGGGAGGCAGCAGACGCTCAGACACGCCGAGCTCCCTCAGACGCGCTAACACTTCGAGCTGACAGACACGGGGACACAGGGCATCGCCTGCACCTGCGTCTGCATCTGGGAGAGTCTACCTCGAGGCGATTCCAGCCCCATTCAGATTAGAATAGTAATGGCCGGACATACCCTCACTTTACGTCTTAAGAAACTAATGATGAATCGAATATATTGAGAGCTTTAATAGGCATAATTGTCAAGATTTTTTAAATCACTTGTTTGTTGTAAGAAATCTCTTGGATTTTCCCCTCACAACATCCCACCCCAACACATTGGGATGTCTCAACCCCCACGTCCTAAAGACCAAGAGCCCACAACTGGAGCTCTTCGAAGGTGCTGCCGAGCCTGGAAGCAAAGTCACTAAAGACCTCTTTGCTCTTCCCTCCTCTGTCCTCTTCCCTGAGGAGCCCAGACGCTCACGCGACAAGGAACAGGGCATTCCAGCTGTCCCCGTGCATATGTGTGACCCCCACACCAACAGGGAACAGGGCATTCCAGCTGTCCCCGTGCATGTGTGTCACCCCACACCAACAGGGAGCAGGGCATTCCAGCTGTCCCCGTGCATGTGTGTCACCCCACACCAACAGGGAGCAGGGCATTCCAGCTGTCCCCGTGCATGTGTGTGACCCCACACCGACAGGGAACAGGGCATTCCAGCTGTCCCCGTGCATGTGTGTCACCCCACACCGACAGGGAGCAGGGCATTCCAGCTGTCCCCGTGCATGTGTGTGACCCCACACCGACAGGGAACAGGGCATTCCAGCTGTCCCCGTGCATGTGTGTCACCCCACACCAACAGGGAGCAGGGCATTCCAGCTGTCCCCGTGCATGTGTGTGACCCCACACCGACAGGGAACAGGGCATTCCAGCTGTCCCCGTGCATGTGTGTCACCCCACACCGACAGGGAACAGGGCATTCCAGCTGTCCCCGTGCACACGTGTGACCCCCACATCAACAGGGAACAGGGCATTCCAGCTGTCCCCGTGCACACGTGTGACCCCACACCGACAGGGAGAGGGGATTCCAGCTGTCTCCGTGCACGTGTGTGACCCCCACACCGACAGGGAACAGGGCATTCCAGCTGTCCCCGTGCACGTGTGTGACCCCCACACCAACAGGGAACAGGGCATTCCAGCCGTCCCCGTGCATGTGTGTGACCCCCACACCAACAGGGAACAGGGGATTCCAGCTGTCCCCGTGCACACGTGTGACCCCCACACCGACAGGGAACAGGGGATTCCAGCTGTCCCCGTGCACACGTGTGACCCCACACCGAAGGGAGCAGGGGATTCCAGCTGTCCCCGTGCATGTGTGTGACCCCCACACCAACAGGGAACAGGGGATTCCAGCTGTCCCCGTGCACGTGTGTGACCCCCACACCAACAGGGAACAGGGCATTCCAGCTGTCCCCGTGCACGTGTGTGACCCCACGCCGACAGGGAGCAGGGGTGTGAGCACTGCCCAAGAGGCGTCAGGTCACGAACCTCACACTGCTTCACGCTGACGATGCCGGAGTTCTTGTAACTTTTCTTCTTCTGCCTCTTTTTCTCGTTGATGCACTCAAACTCCACCTGTGGGGGACAGAGCGGTCACTGCGCGCCAGATAGGCCAGTGGGACGTAAGCGGTGACGGCCTCCTGGAAGGAAACCCCGACGGAGTCTACCGCAGCACCTGAGGCAATACCGCAACGACTAGTAACTCAGTCATCACTGACGTCCCAACGCTCGCCTGGAAAGTGCCTTTTAAATACAACCCTCCTGCCGAAACCGGTTTGGCTCAGTGGTAGAGCGTCGGTCTGCGGACTGAAAGGTCCCAGGTTCAATTCCGGTCAAGGGCATGTACATTGGTTGCGGGCATATCCCTGGTGGGGGGTGTGCAAGAGGCAGCTGGTCGATGTTTCTCTCTCATCGACGTTTCTAGCTCTCTCTCTCTTTCCCTTCCTTCTCTCTGTAAAATATCAATAAAATATATTTAAATACAACTCTCCTGGCAAACTCTAAACATAACCTTTCTTCTTCACAACAAAGGGAGTAACTGTAACTCCCAGCCTTTGCCTCAGAGAGAAAACATGCTGCTCAGGAAAGAAAAGACCTGGGAACAGAGGTGAAGCCCAGTCCTGTGTGAAATGCAGCGTCCCTCCCACTGGGCACTGCCTCCTCCTCCCCGCCACCCCCTCCACCCCCTCGCCTGGTGTCAGGCACCGCCTGGCCCTCTCCAATCTGCACCCACCGCCTGGAACATCTGCAGCCACACAAAACTGACCTACATACTTCATCGTGTTCTCACTTGTTTCCTTCGTTCCTTTCTTCACAGCGAGGGGGTAACACTCCGAGTGGCCCCTCGATTCTCGCTGCTGCTCCTCACGCTACGGCACAGGGACTAGGTGCCTATGACGAGCCCGCTCTACTGGCTCTCCGAAAGCACCCCATGCCCACCCGTGGTTACTGGCTAAGAATCAAAAATGATGTGAAAGAGAATCCTGCGAACCTTCGGAGGGCTCAGTCCTGCCCGAGTCTCCGTCACCGCAGTGAGCACTCAGGACTGCGCGTGTCCAGTGAGGAGGAGCCCACTGGCACGGCAAAGGCCGCATCGCTCGCGCCCTCGCTCTCACCAAGCCACCAGGGCACCGAGAGCGGACGACCAGACAGCCCTGCCTTTGCCGAGCAGCACTGAGCAAGCTGCCTGGGCACAGGGAAGCCTGGCCCGTCCCCAGTCGGTGCAGGGAACCTGCAGGATGCACACAGGGTGTCCAGTCGCTGTCACTCGTCCTCGTCTGAAGGCAGGCCATTCACTGCTCCAGACACAGGCGCTGAAACCCCGAAACTACCAGCAGCCCTCCGGCTGAGCCGGGCGTACTGCCCGTGGCCAGGTGCCCACTGTGTCCCGTTAGCTCTGCCTCAGAAAACCACCGCGACGCGGAATATCTGCCTCTGCCACTGGGTTTTGTTGCTTTTTAATCCAGTCTGTCAGCTCAGCGCCAGGTCACCGCTGGCATGTAAGCCGCAGAGGGTTGGAAAGCCTCCTCCATCCCACCGGGCCTGTCAGCTGTGGGAGGGGCTGTGACCAGGAGTGGGGCCCCCAGGTCCCCTGGAAAGCCCATCCCCTCTTGTTTGTTTACAACCCAATAAGCTAAACCAAAGGGCCCATCGGTTTCATGTATTCGTTTAGCTATGATTCCCTAACTTGAAGTCCTATCACCACGCTTCGTCCCTCCTGGGGTAAGGCCACAGGAAGGGCGGAGGTGGGCGGCCAGAGTGCACAGGTCAACCAGGCGGCTGCCCTGCTGCGGGCCCTGATTACCGTGACCCAGCACGTGCCACACGCTTCAAAACAAAGGCTTCCCATCAAACCTCGGATGCTGTCTGCAGCCAAACCAAGGCTCTGTGTTCCTGTAACTCACACCGCAGCCTGGGTTCCGGGTCCTCTATTACCAACCCCCGGTCCCCGAGCACCCTGCCGCCTGCAGTGAGGCCGGCCTGCGCTGTGCCGAGGGCGGAACCGGGAAAGACGCGACTCACGGGCGAGCTCCGGGAGGCCGCCTCCAGCTGCGTCATGGTGGTCTGGAACGCCCCGATGAGGTCGTGGGAGCCGTCGCTGTCATAGTCGTAGCACTCCACCTGGAAGCAGCACAGAGGTCAGGCTGCGGGCCTGTTCGGCCCAGGGCTGCGGCAACGTGCTGACCCGCAAGTGCCCCAAGCCCTCGCCACTTGCAGATGCTCCTGGTCGCGCGCGGCAGACAGATGAACACAGACCACTCGACCTCCTCTGAGCAGCTTGTTCCCCACCCCGACCCTGGCTGGCGCCTCGCCCGCTTCAGTGGAATCACGCGGCGGCTGAAGCTGTCAGGAGGAAGGAGGGCCGGTGTCTGTGTAATGATTTAGATGATTTCGTTATGGACACAGCGAGTCCCCTGCCACCGAGGAAGCCTGCGCCAGCGACAGACAGGAAGCCAGAGCGCAGCGCGCTGAGGGCCGCAGCCCTGGCCCGCCACCCATCACGACGTGAACGCCACGTCACCAGCTCCTCACTGCAGGGAACATCTCCCCAGAGGGCTGTGCCTGCTCAGCTCCAGGAGGGAGTCGGGCAATGGCAACCGGAAGGGCTGCATTCCTTACTTTATTCCCATTTTATCCAGGAAGACAAAACGGCATCAATTAATGAACACAAACAAGGTCCAGAGACACCGCAATCTGAGGGCTGTCGGGAGTGTCCACTTGTTGGGGGTCTTTGCTCGCGGACGAGCCAGACAGCTCGACTCCCGCCCTGTGTACGTGATGGGCAGTCTAAAGCCCCCGTGGCCCTCCCAAGTGTCAGGGAAGAAAATGAATGATCTTAATAACAGCTTTCTAGTTGGACTAAAATTAAAATGCAGTTAAAAACAATCTTATCATTTTAGTAATTTCATTTAAATAGTTTTTCTTAATTATGGACAAAAGAATTCTACATTACTAGATTTGCATTCAGGAAACTACAATTTATACGTAAGGCAAAATCAAGCTTTGATAATGTCAAGATTTTATTTAAACAGGGCTTATGAAGAGCGAATGTCAGTCTGCCTGAAACTTCAAGGGATGTAAAAATAGCTTCCAACGGTAATTTCTGATAACTCGCTCCACTGCCCCATGGCAGGCACATGTTTGGTGCTAAAGAAAAACAGGATATTTATAATGCTGGCACGGCTTCAGGTACAGTTTGGGGGAATATTATATAATGACTGTGTCCTTTAATTTCTCAAGGATTCAAAAACTAGGACTATGGTCTACCTAAACAACAGTACACACACCTGTACACATACACAAGTGAGTGCACATGCCACGCACACATGCATGTGATAATGTGCATGTGTATGAACACACATGCGTACATGTGTACATATGAGAACACACACCACACCACAGCACATCCACTAGGCGATCCCGGTGAGGCGGGCAGCATGCACGGCCGTTTTCCATTCGCTGGATGTTGTGGCAAGGATAGTCCATGCCGGAGGGACCACACTGCACACCCACCCCGCGGCGGAGGCCGCCAGCCTCACACACCTCCAAACAATGCCAAACCCAGGAGCACAGATGCATGGCTTTCTGATGTCACAGAGAAGCACAGACGTGACGATGTGGCAGAGCACGTCTGTGTCATTAAACACACGTTTAAGAATGGAGGCATTCATCAGGTGAGCTCGGAAACAGTTTACTTACTACAATCAGAGAGCCCTGTGCGCAAGCCACTGCGTGCAGGAGGTTTAAAAACATTGTTTCCTGTTAACATGTTAGTACACACAATTAAGTAGTTTTGACTTAGGCAAGTTTTTTTTTTACAGCCTCTTTTGCTTTTCAGATAGATTGATGCTTCAACTTACCACTGTTAATGTGAAAAGCAAAAGCTCTACATTTAGTGTGACACTGAAAGTAACATTTTTTTGAATTGTTATAGGAGTTTGTATGTGCTTTCCGGAAGGATCCATGCCAGGGAGCAAGATCTTACCTGCTCTCAAGTTATTTTTCAAGTTCTTTTCTACGTTTACTTTGTTCGTACTTGCCTCAGTAGTATGCGATTGCTGTGAGCTAAAGACCCCTGAGACCTGGGCTCCAGAGACTTCCGCTCCCCCTTAACCGTCAGCGGCGTTTTAACGAGGAGCCTGACCTACGATAGGAGTCCTCACTCACCAGAGCGAGTGTACCCGCCCGTCTCGCGGGGCGACTAACACCCTCTCCCACGCCTCTCCTGCAGTGCCTGAGCCCCGAGCAGCCTGAGTCCTGCTCCGAGTGTCTTCTAGACCCCGTTTCCCTGTGGCTCTAACTCTGCTGGGGGGCACTCCCCTGCGTGGGCACGTGGTGAAGTCTGGCCTGTTCCTCTTGATCTGCCTTGTGTCTCTCTGAGTGTTAGACCAAGGGGAAGACCCTGAGAGGGAGGAAAGCTTGTCCCCAGCCCCCACCCCTAACCTGCATTTCACTGCTGCTGCGTGGCACACGCACCCCATGGTATTAATCTTAAATTCTCCACGCTGAAGACAAACAGATGGACCTAGGAAATGAGGATTCCAGCCATAACAGCACCTGCGCTGCCTTTAACAGCAAGACTTCCCTTTCCACCAATTTAGCCCTTATTTTCTCTGCTGTACAAGTGGAGATGGCAGCTGACCTGCCCAAGATCCCTTCGCTGCTTCAAGCAGAATCGGGACTCGGGCTGTGGTCTGACTCTACATCCGACGCTTGTTCCAGGCCACCCGCCCTCCCCTCCGCCCTCACCACATCCCTTACAAAACCAGCAAGACCCATCAGCTTGCTGGCACAGGGCACAGGCAAAGGCTTCTCTCTGGAATCTAAGTCAAATGGCTCTAGTATAAAAGTGTCTTTAAAGTTAGGTTTTTGATGAGACGTGATAAATAAGAACAATCAAGATTCTTAGACACCTGCTGTGGCTCCCTGCTGCCGCTCTGCCCTTGGACCCGACAATAAGCCACCCACCGTCTTCAGGGCTGCACTTTGCTCTGGAAACGAGAGAGAAAGCCACTGGTCCTCTCCGCACTGAGGCGGCAGACGGTGCAGGCTCTGGTTAAAGGAACGCCTGCTTTTATCTGCAAGGACACGCCAACGGCACAGAGGGAGCGAAAGGCTCTTATTCAAAGAGCAAAGGGATCCTTTTTATTTTAAAAATAAAGTGTAAAATAAAAATCACAATGTTGGATTCAGCATTGGGTGGACCATCAGTCAAACATGTTGATTCTTCAAACTCTTTACCTACCACACACCCCGTTTCAGGGTTCCCAGGCCCAGCCAAAGGGAGTCCCACAGGCTCATCCCATCACTTTCTTTCTTTAAAATGACCTAACCCCGTGGTCGGCAAACTGTGGCTCGAGAGCCACATGCGGCTCTTTGGTCCTTTGAGTGTGGCTCTTCCACAAAATACCACGGCCTGGGCTAGTCTACTTTGAAGAAGTGGCGTTAGAAGAAGTTTAAGTTTTAAAAATATGGCTCTCAAAAGAAATTTCAATCGCTGTAATGTTGATATTTGGCTCTGTTGACTAATGAGTTTGCCGACGACTGACCTAACCAATTAAGTGTATAAGAGAGGTGAGTTTGTGTAATTTCAAATTACCTTAATAGTCTTATCCATATCTCCGTAGCACAGGGAGTTCAGAGAGATTTTAAAAGGCCTCCACACAGGATTCAGGTTGTTTTTAATGACCTAGAAAATGGAGATGCAGAGACGTTAGGAAGCACCGAGTTCACCACGTTCTGCTCTCGCCTTTCCCCGTCCACGGACACCCGCTGGGATGTACCGCCCCCTGGTCCGTGACGGACTCTCTGGTCAGCACACGTGCTGCAGGAAGCACGTTGGCAAGGGCACCCACCCACAAGGGCGCCTTAGGAACCAGGGTTTCCATGAGGCAGAGGACTCAGTCCGAGAAAGAACAGTGCTGGGTTATTAAAGAGATGAATTAAAGAGACAGTCTTACACCCATCATTTCTATAGACATCATAGGCAGATACAAGCAAATGTACAGTTTCCAGCTTTGTTCCCTGCAAGGGCCCAGCCGCAAGAGCACGTGGGCCCTCAGATCTTGGTGTCTGAATACCTCCACCTCTCAGAGACTGGGTCACCTCAAAGAAAGGGGTCACCCCAGTCTGGCTCCCACAAGCACATACAAAGCGAGGTCCTAGGGCTCATGTCAGAAGCCAGGAGCCGTTGTAGGCATGCCCTGTCAAATCCAGATACCGCGGAACCTCGCTTTGCAAACTTATTTCATTCCGGAAGGCTGTTTGAAAATGGCATCATCTTCTCCTACTAGAGATCATGTAAATGGAAGTAATCTGTTCCAGACTCCCAAACGATCCCGTTTTAACTTTTCTTATACACAGTGCATGTCTATTTACTGTTTAATCTATAAATATACTCTTCAAAAACAAAAGGACATCAAATGTAAGTGAAATTTTAACAAAAAGGGAAAACTTAACAATAATTATAAGCAGCAACAAAAGCAGAAACATACAAAATATTCACAGCACAGGATCCTGAGATGCTAACAGAGGGGAACTGACTCGTATTTGTGCGTTCTCTCCTTTATCTGTTGCCTGAGAAACACATGATTCTTCATAAGGCATCAGCAGGAAAGGGCTGTAGCTGAGCAGAGAATTGTTGGAGATGGGAGACATTTGAGAAACGGGGCCTACTGCACTCTGAACAGGAAAGAGTGGTAAACATGAGCACCTTGTGCTCCAGCCATCCATGAGCCCACCATGCCGCTGAAGACAAAAAGGAGGAAGTGAGAGGGAGCACCGCTAATCCATGTGCAGGAACGGAAGATGGAGAAAACAACACTGTGTAACCTCAGTCCGATGGTAATAAGTGAGACTCGGCACGATGGTCAGCAGAAGCTAAAGCAGGGCAAACTGCGAGAGAACAGCCTGCGGGGCCGCACCACAGACCACCGACCCCTCGCACCTGAGACCCCGCTGGACTGGCTGAGGCAGAGCCCAGAGCGTGGGCATGCACGGCTGATTACTGGAGAGGTTCGACGGCAGAAAGGCTGGGGAGGCAGGGAGAAAGTCTTACATGGAGAGGATGTAAAAACAGCCAAGTGCCACATGTGAGCCTTGACTGAAAAACAACAGAAAACAAGATGCTTACAGCATGCGGGACGCTGGGGAGACCTGAGCACGACGCTATAAACCACACCAACGCTGAAGTGCGGCTGGACAGCAGAAACCCCGGCTCTGCTCTGCCGAGGTGGAGTCACATCTACAGCCTCACCAGGAAGGCTCTGCAAGAGGGTACTACTGCATGCAGTGTGCGAGTCCCTGTGTGTGCAGGTGTGCGAGTCCCTGTGTGTGCAGGTGTGCGAGTCCCTGTGTGTGCAGGTGTGCGAGTCCCTGTGTGTGCAGGTGTGCGAGTCCCTGTGTGTGCAGGTGTGCGAGTCCCTGTGTGTGCAGGTGTGCGAGTCCGTGTGTGTGTGTGTGTGTGTGTGTGTATGTGCGCACGCGTGCGTCCCTGTGTGTATGCAGGTGTGAGTCCGTGTATGTGTGTGCAGGTGTGCAAGTCCCTGTGTGTGTGCGCAAATGTGCGAGTCCCTGTGTGTTTGTGTATGTGTGTGTGCCTGTGTCAGAGAGAGAAAAAGAAGGAGCACACATGTGCAGATCAAATGTACAAAAATGTACAGGGCATACATTATAGTGTTCTTTAAAGGGTTGTACATTTCTCAAAATACAAACTTCACTAATAAAAGAAAAAATGAGCATGCTGACCTTGTGTCTGGTTATATATGTCAAAACTCAGATTGCTATTTTTATAGAAACAATTTTTTAAAAATTCAGATTACTACATTCCCCTGGGAAACCTCAGCCCTGCCTCCCAACCTCACATGCTCACCTCTGTTCGGTGCACCAGCAGCCAGGTTCCGTCCGACGTCTGCTTGTGGAACTCCAAGTAAGGGTCGGACTTGCCAAACAGGTCCTACGTCAGAGGGAGAAAGCCGTACTTCTCAGCGCCGCTCTGGCTGTGGCACCCACTCTGCCCGTGGCACGCTAACACCGCACTGCCCTCCCGGGGCAGGTCTGCATGCCAGCACCGCAGGGCACAGCCCTCTCCCTCTGCACCAATGCGCCCATCTCCCCAGAGAAGTGGCGTTTCTGATGAAAGCCCTGACCCTGCGCACACAGCCTCACTTCTCAACGCTACGCCCGCACCACTACGCCCGTTCTCTGCTGGTCTCAGGCCTAACTGCTCCCTCACACAGCTCTGACCATTCTGGGAGCAGCATGCCAACACCAGGCGCTAACTCTGAGGGACAGCGACCAGATGGACGCAGAGGGATCACATCAGGTCACATCTGATTGCTGAGGGATCGGAGTATTGATTCCACAGCTATCCTCAGGGTCCAATCCCACACGCCAGGGAGCAGGGGCAAGTATGTGGAGAAGCCACGGTTACTTCACGGTTAGAGTCCCTCCTTTCCTCTTAGTTCCCCACAGCACCTATGCATGTGCAGCAGCCGCGTGCTCAGAGCTGCCCTTCCCACACCCTACACACACACACACACACACACACACACAGATACACACACTCACAGACACACCCATACATACAAACACAGAGGCACTCATAGATACACACACAGATACATACAAATACAGAGACACATACACAAACACATAGATCCATACAGACCCTCAGACACACAGAGACACACGGCCACATACAGAGACCTCACACTCACGTACACACACACAGACACAGCGACACAGACATTTATAGACAGACACACAGATTCACACACACACACACACACACACACACCTCAGACACACACAGACACCTCACACTCAAGTACAAAAATAGAGACACATTCATAGATAGACAGACATACAGATTCACACACACACACCTCACAGACACTCACAGACAGAGACACACCTCGCACACACACAGGCTCTCACGGACACACCCAGGACAGCGGGACTGGAAGGAACTAATGCTCCGGGCTGCACCCTCCTTTCCCAAACGGATCAGCGGGAGGCACACAGGAGGCGCCTGTATCCCTACCCACCTTGTTGTCCAGTTTTCTTGCTTCCATTTCAAACAAGACCACTCTATTATCCTTTATTTCTTCAGCGGAAATCTATGAGATCAGGTGAATGAAAGAAGAGTGATTTAGGGATTCTGACACAGTACTGATATTCTGTTACCTAACAGTGTACAAACTCAGTATCAGTACAGATGATCACTAAAATGGTGCCACTGAGAGATGTTTCAAGTTAGCTTTCACACATGTGCAATAAGCATGTGCCCAACCCTGCTAACCCTGCGTTCGGCACCTTCCTTCGCAGACGCCACTGTCCCAGCGGCATCTCCCCAATCCAGGGAAAAGCGCGGCCTGGGCACACACCAGCTGCAGCCTGCGAACCCCGAGCTGGGAGCTCAGCAACCCCGGCAACACCCGCAGCTGAGATCACTGTTTCCACACGACCCCACTGGCCACTGCGCACACCCGGTGCCGGCCCAGGAGCAGCACGGCGGCTGAGGCGGCGTTCTGTGCCACGAGCCGCTCCCCGCAGACGCTCATGCTTGTGCTGGAGAAGTTTAACCTGGAGCAAACCAGCTGCTCAGGTAGCACGGCGCAGCCCTCCGAGGCTCGGGAGCCCGCCTCCGTCCAGCTCAGGTCAGAACCAGGGCTCCGGAGGGAGAGCCTGAGGAGCGGTGTCCTGCGCGGGGCCGCAGTCGCCACCTGGGGCCGGCGGGAGGGCGGCACCGGGTGCAGGGCTAAAGGGGAGGCCATGCCATGTGAGACCCGATGGAGTGAAGCCGTCTGGCCAGGGTCTTGCAGAGCCCGGAACCATCCGATGCCGTCGGGTCTAAGTGGGGGAGGGGGCTCCTGGGGCGAGGAAGCACCCGAGGGGCCTGACTCCTTGGCCATCATAAAACGCAAAGGGATTTGTGAGTGAGTTTTTCTTCCTTTTCTGACACACGTCACACAGGGGTCGGTGATGGCTCCCCAGCAGGGAAGGGGGGCCACTACCAGGGTGGCATGACCGGGCTTGTGGGCACCTGCCGGCAGCCCCACGTGCCCCCTCACCTCCGAGGCACAGACAAGGTCTCATACCGTGATGCTGCCCTTCCCCGCGGGCTTGCCGTTCCTCAGCATCAGCGGGCGCGTCAGCTTCTTACTGGACACGATCTGTAATGGGCGGAAGGTGACAGAGAGCTTTCCCACTGCATCCGGCCAACTTCCTACTGAACGGTTTTGACAAAGAGACTGAGTATAAATTTCATTTAACAGGTCATTCAGCCCGGCCGGTGTGGCTCATTGGCTGAGCATCGCCCTATAAAGCAGGTCACGGTTCGATTCCCGGTCAGGGCACATGCCTGGGTTGCCAGCTCAATCCACAGTGTCGGGGGGGGGGGGGGGGGGGCAGGAGGCAACCGATCAGTGATTCTCTCTCATCACTGATGTTTCTCTCTCTCTCCCTTCCTCTCTGAAATTAATTTAAAAAAACACTATTTTTTAAAAATGAATAAAAAGGATCATTAGAAATGGAAACATTAAGCCCATCCTAGAAGGGCGCAGTGATTCTGAAACGCATGGACCCGTGGGAAACCCACAGAAACCATTTCCAAGAGCTGTGACTGACTTCCCTGCTCCTGCCCACTAGTTCCCTTTTCAACTCCTTCCAACGTGGATTTCTGACACGTGATGGGGACGAAGGCCAGACTCATCTCTCACTAATCACGGAGCTGAACCCACTGAAAGGTAGGCCCAGCCTCAGGACTCTCAGCAAATGGGATTCAATGTGTTCCCTGACACGTAGCCCTCACATATGTAACCCACCAGATACACTGACTAACATAACACTGTAGACCCAGTCCTCCCCTCAGCCATAATTTCTCAAATTCACTTTAAAGCTAGCCACAGTGGCTTTTTTTTTTTAAATTAACTTTCCTTGGATGCCATTTATCAACATTTTAGAAAACCGATCAGCTCCATGTTGCCCAAGACAACAGCAAAGCTGAGATCCCCCAACACTGAACGTGAGTCCTTCCTAGAGGTGACCCCAAGCCGGACGCAGGCAGGACCTCTCTGGGAAGTCGGCGAGGAGCCCAGACACAGCCTCCCTGACCGAGCTTGTCCGCCCCGGGAAGACGTAGTAACTAGGCGACGAGGATAAACAGGAAGGGCAGGAGAGCGCACCCCACCCAGCGGGCACCAGAGGCCACAGACTCTGGGTTTACAGGCATGAGCCCGGCCGAGGAGCAGCGTGCCCATGGCATGGTGTGGGCATCGGGCCAGCCCTGCCCGCAGGACCATCAGTTGCCACTGCGATGGATTGACTGGGGCCCGCACGCCAGGGGCTACAGCGGGTTCACTCCTGATGTGGGACGAGCACCCTGACTCCAGGACTGAGGGGCCTGGCACACGCTCCCACCCTAGGAAGGCCGGGATTCCGCCTCCCTCACCGACCACGCCGGCTGTGAGCTCCGTCCGCAAGGTGGCCCGTGGTTCCCAACTTTCAGAGTTAAACTAAGAAGCACAAGTGAAAATGGACAGCAACAAGGAACAGTGAGCAACACTGTACCAGCGTGGGCAGGCGGAGCGGGGCGCGGAGTTCGGGAGCAGCGCCTGCCTGGCTCTTTGCCCTGCCCCAGACCAGGACAAGTAACATGCCAACTCCAACTGAAAAACGCAGAAAGCTCTGTGAAGGCCCAGCTCCCTGGCGCCCTCCGCCACGTGCACACCCACCTGTCCCAGGGTGCATTCCCAGCTCCCTGGCCGCCCTCCGCCCCGTGCACACCCACCTCTCCCAGGGTGCATTCCCAGCTCCCTGGCCGCCCTCCGCCCCGTGCACACCCACCTGTCCCAGGGTGCATTCACACTCTCCCAGGAAGTCATCGTCGCCCAGCTCGATGGTCTTGTTGTCGATGTCATAGACCCCAAACTTCAGTTTCTGCACCACCTCGAAGTAGTAGTCAATGATGAAGGTCTTGGAGAACGTGGGGTTCAGGCAGTTCTTAATCCTCTCGGTGCGATCCGCCTTGCCCCAGAACAAAAGGGTCAGGTCAGAGGCGGCCCAGATCTCAGTATCTCACCAGCCACCCTGGACGCAGGCGGGCCTGACGGCTAAGGAGGCCGTCCGTGTGTCAGGTACACACCTGCCCCACACTGCCTACCTGTGTGGTGGTTTCCTGACTGTAACATGGGTAAGCTCTTCACATCGCCAATAAACAATCCACTCGCTTTCACGTTGTGTTAACATACCTCATACCACTGCTGTCCGCTCGAGTTCAGAAACAGCACGCACAGAGGGTCTGACTTGGACCCAATGTCTGAGTCCAGAAGGTTGTTACAGGACACGTTCAGCTCCACCTTCGTCACGCACTGGGCGGCCATCTCTGAGCTGTGAGAAGCCACGTGTGAGAAGGTCCTTGAGAAGCCATGTTCCCAGGAAGCCGCAGAGCTTGTCAGGACCCTGTCTGACCAGGGGGACCAGGGGGCCCAGGGAGACAGGGGACCAGGAGGGACCAGGGGGAGGGTGGGGGGGGAACCAGCGGGGGATCAGGAGGACCAGGCAGGTCAGGGGGACGAGGAAGGACTGAAAGGGACAGGAGGAACCAGGGGCGTATCAGGAGGACCAGAGGGGATCAGGGGGAGCAGGGGGCGTCAGGGAGACCAGGGGGGACAGAGAGGGAAAGGGGAGATCAGGAGGATCAGGGAGACAGAAAGGGACAGGGTGGACCAGGGCGACCAAGGGGGATGGAGAGGGAAGGGGGTTGATCAGGGGACCAGAGGGACAAGGGGAACCGAGAGGGATCAGGGCGGATTAGGGGAGCCCAGGAGGATCAGGGGGCCCAGGTGGACCAGGAGGGACCGGGAGGGACTGGGAGGAACTGGGACGGACCGCGTGCTTAGACTCTCGCTTAGAACAGAGCTCACTTACTGGGACGTAAATGCAGTTTCTAAGGCGGCAAATTGAGACTTAATCACCCGGCCGGCGGGGCTCAGTGTCGACCTATGAACCAGAAAGTCACGGTTAGATTCCCAGTCGGGGCACATGCCCAGGTGTGGGACATGCAGGAGGCAGTGATCAATGATTCTCTCTCATCATTAATGTTTCTATCTCCCTCCCTCTCCCTTCCTCTCTGAAATCAATAATATATATATTTTTTAAAATTTTTCACTTCACTATAAATTTTACCACTCAGAAAAACTCAAAGCATTAAGCTATGAAATAAAACACATACAACTACAACCTTAATTATAAATTGTTCATTTAACAAGATGCTAAAGGAGATACTTTCTATTTTCAAAGAATTTTAGCTAAAGCTCCCCCACACACACACACACACACACATTACAGGGCGCCTCTCCCTCGGCTGCTGCCTGGAAGCCCGGGATTCCCACACCTGACGCAGGGCCCCTACACAGAGGTTTAGAGCCCGCCTGGCCTCGCTGCCAGGCTGGGTCTAAAGCAGACGAGGTGGAGAGGCCCGTTTTCCTGCTCCCGCTCCCGCTCCCCCACCCTGCAGACCCGCCAGAAACACCAAGCCTGTCACTGAGCCCACCTCCAGGCGAGGAAGAGGCCTGGGGACAGAGGAGGCCGGGGGCTGGCCTCGAGAGGTGCCATGCTCAGGGGAAGAGACAGATTACTTCCCCTCCTCCCACTCTGCTACCTCCAGCGAGACATGGGGTGCTGGCATGTCAGAAGTCAGTGCTGGCATGGAGGCCCCAAGCTCCCGGAGACGGAACAAGGAGGCAGGCTTCGTGGTTCTAATTCGAGGAGCCTGTGAAGAGCAGCGCGGTGCACCCGTCTCACTGGAGAGTCACTCACGTGGGACACCGTGCACAGACCCCAATGCCTCCTGGGAGTCACTCCTCAGGTGGGACACCGTGCACAGACCCCAGTGCCTCCTGGGAGTCAGTCCTCAGGTGGGACACCGTGCACAGACCCCAATGCCGCCTGGGAGTCACTCCTCAGGTGGGACACCGTGCACAGACCCCAGTGCCTCCTGGGAGTCACTCCTCACGTGGACACCACGCCCAGACCCCAGTGCCTCCTGGGAGTCAGTCCTCAGGTGGGACACCGTGCACAGACCCCAATGCCGCCTGGGAGTCACTCCTCAGGTGGGACACCGTGCACAGACCCCAGTGCCTCCTGGGAGTCACTCCTCACGTGGACACCACGCCCAGACCCCAGTGCCTCCTGGGAGTCACTCCTCACGTGGGACACCTTGCACAGACCCCAGTGCCTCCTGGGGGTCACTCCTCACGTGGACACTGTGCACAGACCCCAGTGCCTCCTGGGAGAGTCACTCCTCACGTGGGACACCGCGCACAGACCCCAATGCCTCCTGGGAGTCACTCCTTACGTGGGACTCTGGGCACAGACCCCCCAATGCCTCCTGGGAGAGTCACTCCTCACGTGGGACACCGCGCACAGACCCCAATGCCTCCTGGGAGTCACTCCTTACGTGGGACTCCGGGCACAGACCCCCCAATGCCTCCTGGGAGTCGGCCAGAAGCTGCAGAGAACCAGAAATTGCAAGGCCCTCACTGGAGTCAGGCTTTCCCACTTACATGCACTGAGGCCCGAGGAGGCGTACCTGGACCCCAAGGTCAGGGGACCGTGCTGTGGCCCAGGATGGCAGGGAGAGCCGAGAGGCTGGCAGCGCTGGCCTGGAGGGTCGTGAGCAGGTGAGAGTGGACCGCAGCGTACTGAGAGCCGATGCCAGGGGCACAGCACGTAGCTCAGTGAGCACAGAGGGCGCATCCAGTGGGGAGCCACACTGGGCAGGACGGGCGAGAGGCCAGGGGCCTGAGAGCCAGGCTCAGGGGCTCAGTGGGTGGGCAACAGGTGCCACTCCAAGGCCTCAAAAAGGAGAAAGAGAAGAAATGCTCATTTCAGATGTCTCTGCATCAAATCTGCTCTAGGCGCTGGGAGTCTGGTCACTGACAAGCACCAGCAAGGCCTCTGGTTCCAGCCACACAGGATGCAGGGGTAGCACCAAGGTCAGCCGTCTTCGCATCGCCCGGGCCAGGAGGCGGGTCAGCAGCGGGCACCTGGTGCCCTGTGACCACAATCACCATCCTCTCCCACTTGGGTTTGAGAAAGGGAAGTGAGCAGGACGAAGACAGGAAACAGAGGCGGAGACCTGCCTCTGAAATGCAGGTAACACAGAAATCCCAAACAAGTCAGCTCCCAATCACCCCAACCTTCCCAAGTCAGCATTACATGACAGAGACGATGCAAAGGCGCTGAACGTCAAGGGCGGATATCTGAAGGGCCTGGCGTGTGAATTGGGCCCAGGGCCTCTCCCAGGCCCTCGCGAAACCCTGAAGCCGGTGTGAACGCCCTCCCGCTCCCCCTCCCGCTCTCCCCCCAACTTGGGCCCTGTGCTCTGATATGATGCAAACATCCCTGGCTGCCAGGGACTTCCTGCTCTGCCCCACCTGCCCAGCCGACCTTGGCCGGAAGCTCCCTCTGCCCATCCCCGTCTTCCAGGTCCACTTTGAGTGACAGCTCCTTCCTAGGGGCAGCCCAGCTACTTCCTGGGGCAAACGCCATGCACAGGCCAGGCTGCTCAGCCCTTCACCAAGGGCTCGGGTTGTGTGGCAGAAAGAGGGGTCACTCCGGAGCCTCTACCGGAGTGCGTCTGCTTTGCCAGGTACCTGAACTTCAATTCCATAAAAGGGATTACAAAAATTACCTGGCAACGTAGGTGTGCACATGCTCAGCGTGTATCAGACACGTGCTATGAACTATAGCAATTATTATCCCATTAACTCCTCTAATACTAGATGGATTGCCTCGTTATGGCTTGTTAAATAGTAAGACACAAGCACCCTTCTCACCCTTGTTTAAGAACCTGAAAGATTGATAAAGAATCTCTGGGATTTACACAAAATTAATCTGCCCAGATAGACAGCCTTGAGGACAACCTGGTGCCAACTCTCCTAACCCCTCAGAAGAGCATGCTTATCTGAGCTACCGCACAGCTGGCGCCCGGGGAGGGCCCACGCCAGTGACAGCCTCGTTATTTGTCCCAAAACAGTGGGGAGGGAAGTCAGTGCCCACCGCCATACCAGGAGCTGAGGGTTGGTGTCTGCCTCTCAGCAGGTCAAGGCAGCCCATCCCACCGTGGTTCCTCAGGCACAGGAAGCGCCCCTCCTGCCCAGCGGGCTCACATCCCATCTGCAGGGCCCCTGCACCTTGCCTTCCTGGGGGGCCTGCTGGGTGGCCAGAGGAAAGCTTCCAGGGCTAGTCCTGTGCAAGTAAGAGAGCGATGCCTGCCCTGGCCTGTTTGGGTCAATGTTAGTGTCGGCCCGCAGACTGAAGGGTCTCGGGTTCGATTCCAGTCAAGGGCACACACATACCTTGGTTCCAGGCTCAATCCCTGGCCCTGGTCAGGTGCCTGCAGAAAGCAACCGATTCATGTGTCTCTCTCACATTGATGTTTCTCTCTCTGTCTCTCCCCCTGCCTTCCACTCTCTAAAAATCAAAGGGAAAATATCAAGTGAGGATTAACAATAAATAAATAAAAAAGAAAGATGTCCACATTTTTTTGATCCTTGCCATGGACAAGGTTACACAGCCTTTCTGATCCCTGGGCTATGGGGCATATACGTTTCGGAAAGGCATGTTCTGTTTTCCAGCCTGTGGAATGAGGAGTTCACCGTAGGGTACCGAGGGAGGTACTATGTCGGCATCAGTATTGCTGCCCTTTACCACCACGCTCGGGCAGCCAGCTACAAGGGCCCCTCTCCCAGTGAGCCATCTGTTCCAGAGCTGCCTTCATAATAACAGAGCTGCACTTCTCAGCTGACAAGTTTTAAGTCACAAGGCCTCCTGCAGCTCCTGCCAGGCGGTGTCAGTGCGGCTTGTCCACCTCACAGACGGAAGGAAGTCCTAGGGTTCCTCATTCCCCTCCCAGATGTGGGGCCAGAAAGCAGAACTTCTCACCTGCCTCCGTCTCATCCAGCTTTGCCCAACTCTCACGCCTGCCTCCCTCCTCTTCTCGGCAGACGCATGCATTTAACTGGCAGGACGGGCATTTTGCATTTGTCACTACGTGCTTCTCTCTAGTCCTGATGAGCAAGGATATGAAATTTCTCACTTCAAAGCTGGCTTTGTTCTCAACGCTGGAAAGTGTCTGTGTTGAGCAAGATGTTTATAAATACACTAGTGGCCGGTGCACAGATTCATGCACATTGAAAGGAAATTAATTAGAAGAAACTTTTTAATATTGCTATTCACCCTTTCTCCATAATAGAAGTGTCAGAGATGAAAGAAAATGAATAAAATGTATATGAAAATATATAAATAGCAAATAAACAATAACATTATATAAGAACAAAGTCAGATATAAAAACAACAAAAACATGATATAAAAATA